TCAGTGTCTAGTATATTGCACTGGTGCCCAAACACCAGCTGACTGACTCAATAAATGAATGAACCCCAATGCTAGGGTTGATTTTGATAAACTAATATTTTATATGATGCTTATAATTTAGCCATTATTGCACACATAATAGAAGATTAAAATGAGAGAGAAAAGATTAAGTGTAGAGAGAGAATGTGTGTATATGTCTATGGAAAAGGTGAGTGGGTGAAGATATCCATGTTCCTGTTTACTCAGAAAGTTCTGGGAAGGGCAATACAGCAAAGTAGGCCTAGTTTGAGCTATTTAGATGTTACAAATGTAAATATGTGAGAAAAGTTAGTATAGAGCATCTAGTATTAAAGAGCACAGGAAAGCAAATGGAACCTTAGCAAAGGCAAGAGACTCCCAGCAATGTGTGTATGCATGAACATTTGTATTAGAACAACTATGAGTGCCTGATGAACTATGGACAGAGGTTCGTGACACTGTACAGGAGACAGGAATCAAGACCATCCCCATGGAAAAGAAATGCAAAAAAGGCAAAATGACTGTCTGAGGAGGCCTTACAAATAGCTGTGAAAAGAAGAGAAGTAAAAAGCAAAGGAGAAAAGGAAAGATATACCCATTTGAATGCAGAGTTCCAAAGAATAGCAAGGANGGACCCAGTGATTTAACTGGGGAGCTGCAAGAGGCAAATTGAGTATTAAGCCAAGCCCAAGGCTGATAACATTTAGTCAAGGATGATAAGATATTGAGAGAATATCCTTTCTGTCTCTTTAGACATAGAAAGATCCTGAATTAAGATGAAGAAACAACCAAACTAAGTCAATGAGCAGGTTGATTTGACAAGAGCAAAAGAACTTTACATAGTTGCAAAGATATTACATAGAAAACAATGTTTATTTTTAACCCATTGGCATCCAGGAAAGACACAAAACGTTCCCAAAGGTGAATTAGAAAATGCTGTCTATGAAGATCAGCCCTGGTTACTCAAAGACACAGAAAGAGTGCACATACATCAAAGTACCTAGAACTCTAGCAATATTACATCTGATATGAATAGAAAATAGTAACTCTTCCCAATACTTCATATAGACTCAAGAACTGACATTTCTTAATTGGTTAAGGTATTTAGACTATGTTCTTAAAAACAACTGTCCCTAACATTCTTTGATGCTGAGTCCTATACTAGAATGTGTTCTCTTCAGGGGAGAGCACATCCTTTCCTTTTTTCAGTCTTCTCTGGCTCAGCGGTGGGGCTCATAGGAAGCCCTTTACATGTCACTCCACTCTGGCAAATCCACAAGTCCCCTACGTCTGTCACTTATACTACAAAGCACACCATATTTGTGGCCTTCTTTGGAATGAAGAGAGGCATGCTTTTGGACAAGATCAGTGACACAAGTCTAGCTGACTTATTCTTGGGACTGGGAGATTTCTCCATCTCAAAAAAAAAAAAAAAGATTTCCATCAATGTTTATTTTCTCTAGTCTAACAGACATACTTTGAAACTCAGTAAATTAACATTTCCGAAGACCCTGGGTTCCTCTTATGGGAAGCCACCGTCATAAAGCGCCACTGGCTCAATCAACATGACATAGTAAAACACCACTTCCCATAATAATTTTAAGTCAACATTAGGTGATGTGGTGTGATTTGGCTTAAATCACTGAAATGATGTATCATTCAGATAATATTTCAAAATAAAAATGGAACCTTGTCAAATTGAGAGGACTTGCATCTCCTTTATTTTACGATGGGAAGGATCAAAGGACCTCATGCTAACTGGGTCGATGCACTGAACATTTCCTGGCTTATGACAGTGACTCAGCCCATTTTATTAACAAGTTAAAGTTAAATAAATGATGAATCAATGCCCGCAAAGCAGGGGGAAAATGCCAGTTTCCCACTAGAATTCGCAAAGTGTGATAAACTTATTTCCGTTAGGAAAACTGCTGAAGTTTTTACTGGGGGATTTCCCAGGCAAACAGAGGCAAAGATATATAAACCCAAAGCGGAAGGTAAGCACATTTCCTCTTAGTGTTTTTATGCTGAACACTAATGCAAACACAGTGAATAATTCAGGGCTGTTTCAAATCATCCTCATTTTCAAACCTGATTGGAAGAGATAACCTTCCATGCCCTTGCTCCTTCTAGTTGGGCTGGCAGAGGAATGGGGCACACATCCTGTGGGGAGAGCAGAGCAGCAAGGCAAAGCCACAAAAGTGAAAATATCCACCTCACTCACCCAGCCATACAAAGTACGCCACCCTCCCCTGCCTCTCCATTTACTCCTCCCTGGTTTTTTATATTACCAGTCACTGCAATCATTTGACAACATCCCCTGGCTTCCAAACCTGAACCTTCCAGCTATGTGAAGGTTGACTATCTTCACGCCATGTAACAATCTAGGCGCTTTACCTGCTCTGGTTCATCTAATCCTAATTCCCTGTGAGCTGCGCACTAAGGCTCATCAGAGCTAAGAACACCCCATCACCTATGCGTTACTCTTGCTGAATATGAACAAATCTGTTTAGGAGGAAAAAATCAAATAAGTTCAAATTGCAGAACATTCTGCAAAATAAATATCCTGAGTTCTTCAAAAACTCTTGGTGTCATGAAAAAAAAATAATAATAATGATGATGAAGATGATAATTTTTTAAAAAGCTAGGAAAATTCATTAGAATAAAGAAGACAGATAAGAAATGAAAAATATGATCCTTATTAGGTCCTGGATCATTAAAAAAAACCTCTATCTATAAAGAACTTTATTGACACATATGAGGAAATTTGAATATTGATTGCATAGTAGATAATAACACTTAATCAATGTTAAATTTCCTGAGTGTGAGAATTACATTGTGATTATATAGGAGAAATGTACTTCTGAGGAGATCTTTCCTAAGGTAATTAGGGTTACTGCTCATTGATATTCCCAACAATCTCTCAGATTGGTTTAGAAACAACAGGCAAGCAAACAAAGAAATCAAGGATCTCTCAAGTCAGAAAGAGAAAGAGAAGGTGGCAAAATGCTAACAACTGGTGAGTATATGAGTGTTCATTGTGCCAGTCTTACAGTTTTTAAATATGTTACCAACATAAAAAAGATGAAATTTTAAAAAAATTATAAAATAAAAAATGAAATGTAAAAGACAAAACTGAAAGCAGCTAAGGAGCAGGAGCATCTAAGGAACACATTCAAACAGTCAGCAGCTGTGGGAGCTGGGACTTAATCTGGTGTTTGGGTGGCTGTTGTCTTTTACTCCATTAAAAGATTTAATGGCTACAATCTTTTTCCACATTTATTCTTTCAAAGGCTGTGTACAAAAAATAAAACACACAGATTACTTTCTTATATACTTGTAAAGAGTCTACAAGTACCAATAAGAAGATGAGGCAAAGAGGAAGAGGCCCCTATGGATGGTTTCTTAACTTCACTACCTTGTAGGGTGTGGTTCTCGGCCAGGCAGAATGAAATGGGATGATGAAAAGCCTATGAATAATATCACTTAAAACCCAACTGGAAGCTAAATAAAATCCTAGAATGAACAAGCTCAACTGAATTTACGGAAATATATCCGATCACTGGCAAGTCTGTGAACTTAATAGATGATTATCATTTGTACTGGTTTGCTGACAGGTTTTGTGGGAGAAGGTTCCTCATTTGTTTACACTCAGCCATGAACACAGAAGTGTTTAAGATAAGGCTAACATATTCTGATCCATGTTTTAATTGCCTATCAGATACATCCACATGGACGTTTCACAGCCACCTAAAACTCAAAGCCCTAAAGTCCATTAATTATCATCCCGTCTTCCCCACCCTTTCCTCTCCCAACACCCTCTTTTCCTCTGTTAATGGCACCATTTTCCACTCTGATGTCTTGGGATATAACTCAAGAATGAATTCTGGTCCTTCTTCTTTACTCCACACATACACTAATAATTAGTGATTCAGTATCCTAATAGCCATTGAATAAACTCTCCATCTTATTGCTTTACTTTAGTTCAGGTCTTTATATGGTTCACAAAGACTCTTACAATAACCTCCTCTGTATTTTCCCTGCCTCTCCCCCCTGATTCAAGCCTTAATTACTTTGCTATCTTGTCACTTGAGTTCCTTCTCTACCAAGGACTCAAAGGACGCTTCTTAAGTGAACAGATGTATTAATAAACAGTAGGCATAAATTTTTAAAATGTGGCTCAGTGGACTTAACACATTAAACAACTCCTAGACCAGGCCAACAGCAACAAAACCACAGATTGCTGGTGACATCAAAGATTCAAAACTTTATTCTTACTGCCTATTCAACCCATTATTTTGTCCACCTAATGTCTACTACTCCAGGATTGCATAGAGGTGCCCACAAGAACTTTTTCCCCTGTGGATGTTTAGGAGTAACCCCTCCATAGGTCAATTCAAGCCAGATGAGAAGTGGAGAGAACAGGAGAGGCATACTGTCATACCACAAGACAGCTGGGCAGTCCAAAGACAGGGACCTAAATGTCGAGATTTTAAAATTTTCTTTCAGAAACTCTTTACAAGGGTGGTATCGACACAAAGTATTCAGTGAACAGCCCCTTTCTAGTGGTGCATTTAAAATCCTGTGCCCTTTTATGTTGTACTCTTAAGATAACACTACTGATCTATGGTTCTCAAGGTACCATCTTACATCTGGAAAGCATTTCAACCTATAGGGACATTACCTTAAAATTGAGTCCCTGAAATAAACTAAGGAAAGACAAGAAAATTCTGATCTGTTTTCTCAGTATCAGACACTTCAGTTGATTATTACCAGTATCTTCATTTTTTTCCCCCCATGGAAAATTAAACAGATAATGAGGTATTTGATTCACGTGCTCTGTGTATGTACTTTTAAAATGTCACCTTTGGGTAATTCAGCCCACCAATGGATTATTAATAAAATTCAGCAACTGTCAAAGCTCTTCGCGGTGGAGAGAGGTTTAGCGGCGCCACCTATTAGGAGAGAGAGACAGATGGCCTTACCTCTCAGCTCCGGCGTCCACAGCTGCGAGTGGCGGTAACTGGGAGGAGGGGTTGTGGGGGCTCCCCTGTACAGTATGTCCCGGAGAAGGGTGAGTGACAGGATGTGGGGGTGGCACGGCCCCAGCAGCTGTTCCGCTTCGGCTTGAGTGATTGCTGGAGAAAATGGAAGCTGAAATCAAGGGAGAACAAGCATCAGACTGCGCCTCAAATGAAGTGCATGCTTTTTAAATACTGAGGGCTGACAGCAAGCATATTTTAGGGGCTTGTCTGTTTTCCTCATGGTGGTTTTCAGGGAACAGTTCTCCCCTTCCTGGATATACACAGCTTCTGTTTTCGTGGTGGAACAGGTTCCACCATGCGTCTTTACTGCTGCCTGAGGAGTTCATGTCCGCTCACTCCAGGCTGATGTACATGGTTTGTCTCAGAAGAGCTGCCCTGCCCGGAAGGGCCCCATCTGGACACTGTGTAATTAGTCCATCTTGTAATGTTTGTACCTGGGCGGAGGTCTCTGTATTTGCACTTTTCCTCACAGGGGATGAGAGTCAGGTAACAGAATATTCGGTCTGCTGACCCGGAAGGACACAACACAGGCTTCCCTCCTTTTCTTGGCGCAGCAGGGAGGCGCTGTGGGTCACTCCCAGCCTCCCCATCACTGCTAAATCCGTGTAATTGAGAACAGAGCTTCCCCGGATCCTAGTACCACTGTAGGACCCTATGTGCTTTTAACTTGAGAGTCTTACCAACCCTGGGCATTTCCCAATGGTGTGATGAATAAATGTACCCAGTCTTTATCAAAAATGAGTCACCTCCCAACACCACAAAATATGGAAAAGTGGCCTCTGGGATCCTTTCCCGCTGTTGTCTGTTATGACACAGAGAGTCAGTTACAGCCTCATTCTTGGGGGCAGTCTAGCCTTTGAGAACTGTACATGACCTCAAACTTAAATATGTACCCATTTAGATCAGCTAATTGGTACGGTATCAGAGAAGAAACGGGGACCTGTCACTTTCAGAGTCTATCACTACCAGAGAGGCTCTCTCCAAGTCCGGACCTACTCAGCAGATATCTCATTATGCGGCAATAATAGCAGCATCATTATGCTGACTCTTTAACTGCCTTCTCTATACAAAGCTCTGCAGAGCTTTATACCCATCTCTGCTCTCTTTGAACTTACTCTACTGATATCAAAGAATAAATGGATTTCAAAAAATTTGAAAAATCAGGTTCAGGATTCAGAAAAAGAAGCCACATAATCAAAGAGATTTGAAGGTTTAGAAGTTCAGGAGCTGTATTTTTAGACCAGCACACTTTCCTACAACCTCTCCAGGATAGAATTAATACCCCAGATGACCCAGCCCCCGAAAGCTTAATCCAATGGAACAAAAGTTCAAGTACTTAAAGGAACATGTGAAGAAGCAGAATTATCATCTTCCCGCTCAAAAAGCTACTGACAGGAATGTGATCTGATTTGAAGGTTTTATTTTTGGCAAGTCAGCATTGTGTCAGGATGACTTCTGTCCTCAGACGCCTGCATCCTCCACTGTCTTCCAGGTCTTGAAGAGGTGGTGAGACTAGAAAATGCTTACTGGCTCAAAAGGGCAATGCAGAGCTTCTGCTGCCCGTCAGCCTCCAGAAAAGCTGCACATTTGCAAACTCGCTAGAGTCACCTATGAATCACTACCTCATTTATGCTCAGCTCGCTCAGGCAACCACATTCTGCTTGTATTCCAAATAATAATTTTACCCACGGGAGAAGGCTGTTTGGATTGACTGTGGCAATAGTTTCAATATGGAGTTTGTCAGCATGAAGCTTGGTGTTTTATATACTATTCCAAAAACTAATGGAATAATAAGAGGTCACAGAGACACTGTGAAAACACAACTAATTTTTTTTTTTGCCTTAATGTGGAAACGTGAACTCTCCTATTTATTTTGTTGTACCTGCTGAATGCACCCATCACTTAATATCCCCTGGAGGTGTTTTTGTATGTGTGTGTGTTTATCACAGGGAAGTGCTGCCTTGCTGTTTACAACCCATGAGTAACAGAGAAATCTGGTATGCACACGCCATGCTCTGCTTTGTGTTTCAATAGAAAATGTGCTGCTTCCCAAAGGTCTACATCAGCGATATTAGCTTCGTTTTTGCATCAGCTGCAATGAAATAGGCTGGGAAATTTGGTATTGTGTGTAGCCTGCCACACACTGAAAGTCAGGCCTATTTAAGGTCCTCTCCTTCAGCCTATGCAATAGCCAGGCCAACTCATCCATCAATCATGCATCCATCCACCCATCCCCCAGCCATTATGTTTTTAATTCAATATTTATTTGGTATCTACTACATGCTAGCCACTCTACTATATGTGGGTTCCTGTCCTTGAGGAGGTTGCAGTTGAATAAGGGGGCAGATCTCTATAAATCATTATATCAAACTACTGAGACTTACTAGGATACAGCATCAAATGGTGTCCAAATCTTATTTGTGGCCTCCAAATATGCCCTAATCTCTGGCCAAATCAGACAACTGACCACACCTCAAATATGTCATAGCAATTTATGCTACTGTGCTTTTTTGCCTGTCATATCCTCTACCTTTCTGTACTTATTTCAGTATTTTTGCTGTGTGCAGAGAGTTACTTGTGTTCTTCTCATTTATCTCTCAGCAGCCAATTATTCCTATCAGCTGCAATGAAATAGGCTGGGAAATTTGGTATTGTGTGTAGCCTGCCACACACTGAAAGTCAGGCCTATTTAAGGTCCTCTCCTTCAGCCTATGCAATAGCCAGGCCCAGTCATCTATCAATCATGCATCCATCCACCCATCCCCCAGCCATTACGTTTTTTAATTCAATATTTATTTGGTATCTACTACATGCTAGCCACTCTACTATATGTGGGTTCCTGTCCTTGAGGAGGTTGCAGTTGAATAAGGGGACAGATCTCTATAAATCATTATATCAAACTACTGAGACTTACTAGGATACAGCATCAAATGGTGTCCAAATCTTACTTGTGGCCTCCAAATATGCCCTAATCTCTGGCCAAATCAGACAGCTGACCACACCTCAAATATGTCATAGCAATTTATGCTACTGTGCTTTTTTGCCTGTCATATCCTCTACCTTTCTGTACTTATTTCAGTATTTTTGCTGTGTGCAGAGAGTTACTTGTGTTCTTCTCATTTATCTCTCAGCAGCCAATTATTCCACAAGTATTTATGGGGCACCTACCACGTGACAGACACTGAGCCAGGTTTTGGGACAGATTAGGGAACCAGATACCCTTGGTGACTATTGTCTCCAGTGCATCATTCATGTTTATTTAGTAAATGAAGATGAACATAATCTAAATGCCACTGGAGACCATCCTGGGTTCCGTGGACAGGACAACGACAGAAAGGAACATTCATCCACCAATCCCTGTCCCCCACTGGTAAAGGGTATTACTTTTCTCACACTTCCAAGTAGGTACATGTACCACAGCGGCTAAAAGTTCTCACAGATGCCCCACATCAGAGCATCAGGAAAGCCTGAGGACAGAAAATTAGTGCAGTTGAGGGGAGGTGCTGCCAAGTTATGTGTGGTTGCCATAGAAATGGCCACAGGTAAGGAAAGGTAGTGAAGGGGATGTGAGATGGAACATAAGAGGTGTATGGTTTAGGTCTGAAGGCTCAGAATCTTGCCCTCCAGCTGTGCTGAGGTCACATGTTGACTGATCAACAGTTAAACATACATCTATAGCCCTTCCATTCACTGCTATAGCCAGTGAATGACACTGAAACAGGCAGAGACCCTTTGACTGGGGACCACATAAGAATAAGGAAGGGAGGCTTTAGGGTTCAATTTGAAGCAGAGTAAAGAAAGAGTATGGGTTTCTCTGGTGGCTCAGCTGATAAAGAAAGTGTATGGAACAGTTTCTTAGGTAGGGTACAAGAAATTACCTGTCAGCAAAAAAAAAAAATCTGTGATTTGCCTTTATAGTCTAACAGACAGAATGAGACATATAAAACAAATTCTATTCTGCTTAGATAATCTTGTAGAAGCTTATAATTCAGTGTTGACACAGAGTGCTTTGCATGCAGAGTTCAAGGAAATGTTTGTGGATATTGCCTGAGACAAAAATAATGACCAGAGACTTGGAGGAATTAACTACAGAACTGTGGCTCAGATCAGTTCAGTTCAGTTCAGTCACTCAGTCGTGTCTGACTCTCTGCGACCACATGGACAGGCCTCCCTGTCCATTACCAACTCCTGGAGTCCACCCAAACCCATGTCCACTGAGTCAGTGATGCCATCCATCCATCTTATCCTCTGTTGTCCCCTTCTCCTCCTGCTCTCAAACTTTCCCAACATCAGGGTCTTTTCAAATGAGTCAGCTCTTTGCATCAGGTGGCCAAAGTATTGGAGTTTGAGCTTCAACATCAGTCCTTTTAGTGAACACCCAGGACTGATCTCCTTCACGGTGGACTGGTTGGATCTCCTTGCAGTCCAAGGGACTCTCAAGAGTCTTCTCCAACACCACAGTTCAAAAACATCAATTCCGTGGCACTCAACTTTCTTTATAGTCCAACTCTCGCATCCATACATGACTACTGGAAAAACCATAGCCTTGACTAGATGGACCTTTGTTGACAAAGTAATTTCTCTGCTTTTTAATAAACTGTCTAGGTTGGTCATAACTTTCCTTCCAAAGAGTAAGTGTCTTTTAATTTCATGGCTGCAATCACCGTCTGCAATGATTTTGGAGCCAAAAAAGATAAAGTCAGCCACTGTTTCCACTGTTTCCCCATCTACTTGCCATGAAGTGATGGGACTGGATGCCATGATCTTAGTTTTCTGAATGTTGAGCTTTAAGCCAACTTTTTCACTCTCCTCTTTCACTTTCATCAAGAGGCTCTTTAGTTCTTCTTCACTTTCT